CCTCGCAGTTACACCCTTATGTAAGTAAAGCGTTTTAGTGGGAGGACCTTTGTTAGTCTTGAATTATTGAAAGAAATTAGCTGAATACTATTAAAAAATTAGGTACTTAAGATAACTTAGACTTTGATTTAAGAGGTGGTAAGCCTTACAGTACACGAGACTTCAATTTCTTACTACTAAGAAGTAAGACATCAATGAGGTTAACAGTTTACAGTGATGTAAATCGAATTAGAATTAGAGTACGCGGAAAAATAGATGTTACGAAGACCTAAGTAAACTCAATTATGCTGTGGTAGAAGCAGATACGATATTTTTAAGAACATATCTATCTACCAATCAAGAGACGAACATTGTATACCATTATAACATCATAGAAAATATCTGTCATCTATTTAACACTCACCAAAGTGACGAAATTTTTCAAGTAATCCTATAACCCCTAGCGTTGCTTAGACAAGCCAACATCACGTCTCGGGACCCGAAATCAAGACACAAATGTTCACAAAAATTCGTCCCCGACACGATGTGTGGGGCTATTTTAAACTCATAACAACTTTTCGACACATGTGTGTCGACCATTACCACATATTACAAAAAATGTTGGAAAAACAATAAAATTCGGGGAGGGGTAGGTGGACGCTTTAAAATTGATTCAGCGCACTGATGCGTTTAAGTGTTTCGTGTTTATTACATATATTGTTTTGTGGTTTGTTTGTATCTGGCTACTAAGGTATTATATTATTATCTGCATTCACTTCTAAGTATGTGATAACTTTGTCAAACTTGTCTGTCTCACATTTTTGCTATCTCGTATTCAGTTGTGATAGTTGTGACCACAACATAAAAGAAATCAACTAAATATATCTCATGCTAACACGATTAGATTATATCTCCATTTTATCTTCATCCGCAATACCAATATACATATTCGATTTCCACTATCTACCTATATATTATATTTGTAGGTATACAATCTAAGCCTCTATGATCAGAATACCGATAATCATACAGGACATACCTCAACTGATTAGTCGCATTAAGCCCCACATACGAACAGCTATGATCAATCGGATAGCAAATTTTAATTAACGAATTCCGCAAACGGTCACAGCGGACCCCACGTGGACGGCGGCCACAAAGCAAATATGACAGCTATTCAACTGCATACTGCACCACATAACAATGCACCGCAATCCTTTAAAATTCCTAACTCACGCATCACACATCCATAACCACATACTCCCAAAAATCTACCAACGGTTGAGTCGAGAGGCAATCTATCATAAAATAAATCTATGATATATTTACACACACTGAATGCATTATCACCATTCCTAAATCAGCTATCAACGGACTCTTTTCACTAAAAGGGTGAGGTTCACTATAGAAAAGGTTGACCCCTCATAAAGACTTATCACCTCATATACAAAATAAGGTTCTACTAATCCAAAATCTCTCGTACGAAAGTTGAATTTATGAATCCAGTGTTAGGGATCAAAGTCGAATGGACAGCAGCCAGCAGATGGGATCTCGTCAAAGTTAGCGGTAGTTTTTTTCACAACAATCTCCTCTCGGACTTAACTTACGTTATCTCGCCCACGAACGTCGCAAGGAATAGAAACCCGCACGTACATAATAAGGACGATATTTCTAAAGAAATTTAAATTCGCCCGCAAAGGTCCCCGAGATAGGATTAAAGATTGGGCGCCGAGATGGCCCTTTTGTGGTCGACCCTTAAGAAAACATGTCTTGATATGGAAATATCTTGGACGGGAGTTAATCGAGGAATCATTTGCGGGGGCGATCATTTATCAGAAGTACGGTCTATGAATGCGTAATTAGTTCACAGATAGAACAGCCCCGCTGTCCGCTTCAAACTCATTGTTGACGTTTATTTCGCGCGAGTGGGTAAGTAAAAAGCGTCGGTTGTTTGGGCCGCAGCAGCCAGCAGCTGACCGTTTTGAGGTGCACCAGACCGTGCATGTCGGGTTAAAACGATAATTTTATCCTGGGGTCCTGCAGAAATCGATACGGCTATCATTGTCCATGCTCCATTTTAAAGGTCAACTAATAAAGGATTAAAAAATAAAAAATTAAACTCTTCCTAAATAAAATCAGATATGTCGCAACAGTGTAGGGGATACGAATGAATAGAAAAATAATACAGTTTTGTACATTTCGTACAACTCATAACATGAATATGAAACATGGTATCCGCTCCGACAATCCTTCATTAATTCGTAAAGCAAACAAAGACGACCAAACACTGGACTCGATCCACACTTGATACAATATTTGTTTTGATACAAACAACTGACGGCCATTGGTTCACCATCGTTTTGTCATGTTAATGACTTTCATACACTGACATTGTGGACACAGATTCTTCCGTCGTAGACTATTGTTGGCTGTTAATGCCACGTTAACGAAATTAAAACAGTTTACAATTGCAGGAACTACTCGATAAAGTTTAACTCTTAAATACGTTCACAACTGAAAGGACACGCGATAGTCACGAGACAAACTTCCCCTCACATTTCACAAAGTCGCAGACGTCATGTCTAAAATTAAAACCCACTTATTCCAAACCCGCCACTTAGCCACCTTCCCGTTTATACAAAAACTAAAAATATCCACCAGCATTGTGTCACGCTTAAAGGAGTTCCATAGGTCACGGCGAACGCATGAGCGTGTACCACGTGTCAGGAACACGCCAAACATTTTTTATCTTTGAAAAAATTATAAAAGACCGTTTCTAACAATGGAACCTCGGTAGCATCTTTGACAATTATAATATCGTAGCCATCGGTACACGGTGCGCCATTAACGCCCATCCGATAAAATACGACATTGAACTCTAACAACAATGAATAAAGGTTGAATATTAAAAGAATATTCATAAACATGAGCTCTTTAGTCATTTGCGCGGCCACGGTTAATGTAAGGGTCATCACAAAAGGCAGATGACAACAATACGCGTGCGTCAATCGTGTGCTCATGCAAATAATTTTTTTCTCCTAAATCATCCCCTTTATCTGTTCGTACAGCGATGGGGTTAATTAATATGTACGGAATAATACAATTAAAATTAAGATCCCTTTTTTAAGTTGGCACGAGGTCGCGACTTACTGTCACCATTAGAATTATGTCCTTGTTTTGACAATAAGCTTCCGTTATGAATGCGGTTTTAAAAGTCGAGTGGATTTATGGACTCGCGACTATTGTTTTTTGTTATCACTTTAATATATTGCTATTACTTTATTATGATGGGGCCCCGCAGTATAGTGGAACTGGTTGGTCTGACAGCTCAGTGGAAAGGGTTAATATGAACGTTTAGGATAAACTCAATAATCCGAAACAACCGGTGCTGAAGCCAACCTGCAATTGACACTTCGATAGCGCAACCCCGGTACAGTCACGCAATAACGTCATATTTAGTGTCCAGATAGAACAATGACGTTTCATATCTTTTGGATTATCGAGCTGAACTCTATATCTAGTAATCGGATGATATTTTTATCAACATGTTAAACATCAGTACAAAATGGTTGGCCTTTACTTATCAGTAGGATGAGTGGCTGGCGATTGCTATATAAAGATGCAATATCATGCATAGGCAGAGTGGGACAGTATTATAAATAGCGCAGGCTGCGTATGTTATTTACTTGCTATCTTTTCCTTAAACATCAGAGATCAGCAGACAAGAAGCTGACATATCTAGATAGTATTTCTAGTTTGAACCGCTACTATATTATGTAAAGACCCGAACAGTAGCAATTTAATAATATTTTTCTTTATCCTTTGTAAGTTGCTGTGTAATAAAGCAGTTGACAGAATGCGGGTCGAAAATTTTGAACGGTGCACAATTTTCGGGTTTAAGGAAGGCTTTGTTGTGCAACGGGTTTAATACAAAAGTGTCAAATGACAGCACATCTGGTCGCACAAAGGGTTAGTCTCGGATAGATTATTTCTCGAACCACCCCCGCAAGATTGCTCGCTTATACAGATGTTCAACTCAACCACCGGTTCTATTTATTTTACGTTTTATTGAAACAGTCTTAAGGATTAGCGAATTTAAAGGAAAGGGTTTGGTCTAAACCTAGATTTGACAAAATTCTCTTAGAGGTTAAATGAAAAGGTCCATAATTTTAATGAGAGGTAGATTATAGTACCAGTTTCGATCCATCGGTTAAATTATTATTACTCATAATAACTTCCCAAGTTAAGATATTTTTGAATTCATAAGATCTGTATATTATCAAAACTAAAATAAGAATGGCACAATTCGAAACATCCTGTTACCAGAAACAGGATTAAGTTCCAATCTCAAATGTATGGACAGGCAATGACGAAGCAGAAAGTGTACGATTGTCCAACATTGTCATTGTGCAACATCTTACGTGACAAAGTCGTATCGTGACGATAAAATTGTCTCCAAAGAATCCTTTGAAGCTCAGAAAGAATCATTAATATAATAAACACTGGACCGTCATGCCGATGACATGAGTTTCAGTGTAAAAATGGCATTCAGTCACACGTGTCCTTTCCTTTTCGTTGGTAAAGGAATTTTTCGGTTAGTTGAGTCATAGACGGAATCGTTCAGGTCTAAGAGATGACGTCTTATCGAAATCGAGACATGGATGTTGTAAACAGTGAGAATAGAATGCTACTGCACGATTCCTCGGACTGTGTTTACCTATTATGAAATTCCATGGTATAGCTCAGTATAAAGTTAAAACAAACTTGAATCCATAGACAAGAAATTAAGTAATTTTTTGCTATTACTGTTGTCATACAGGTGTAGTGAATAACACTCAAATACCTATATCAAGATAGGAATTAGTCAAAACGGCGAAAGATCATTAATTGTTTTTACTTGTCTTTTTTCTTCGCTTAATGATTGTTATTATTTATAGCGTTTTAATGCTCCCTAGGCCAACACATATACCTAGACGAGTTCTGAATTTGCCAATGAACAATGATAAAAAAATGTGACTTACCACTATGCATAGTATTCGATTCTGCGTCAGCAACTTCAGTTCTAGATTTCTTTTGGTCCTCAGGTGATCCTGTGGTGTCCATATGTTCTTGTTTGATCTTCGGCTTAATGTCTTCGTCCGGGGAACTTGATGGCATCGGTGATGTTGACGCTCGCCTTTTAGGCGTTGAAACTTCGACGTCACCTATTTGTAAAAATGCATTTGCTATAGCAACGAATTTGAAAATGGTGATGGTCACAAACTGTTATAATGTTGATAAACTGACAAGAATTGGCTTTTTTAAGAAATTAATGTAAAAATTGAGTCCACAAACATAATGATATCTTCGAAGCTGTAAATTTCTCACCATCCAATAGCCTCTTAGGTGTGCTTGATGCTCCTCCGTCTTCTAAAAGGTCGGGAGGTGCCATAGAAGGACTGGCAAGGGGAGGAGTGTGCACTCTGCTGCTTGGAGGCCTTCTTGCTGTGAGAAGGGACGGCCTCCGCGCGCTGGTACTCCCACTTGAAACCTGGCCTGGTCTTGATCCATCTTCGGGGTCGGAATTTGGTCCTATGATTGGGGAAAATTGATATAATGTTTAAATGTAGATTTGTTAACCAACAGATAAATACTATTTAAATTTTGCTACTAATCGAAACTAGATTTGATTGCTCGTCTGTAGTTTTAATGAGGAATTTTGGTTCAAAATGTTGACAAATATTCACAATGTTTCTGTAAATTGATGTGAAATCAAACTCACCAGCACTGTAACAGTGGTAGGACGTGAGATCCTTATCACAGGAGGATACTTTATGCTGAATGAAGCGTACGATGTCTGCAAGGGCGAAGGCTCTGCGACAGGCTCCACAGGTCAGGGTGTCTGCAGGCACCCCTGGAACGGGGGACCCGCCACCTTCTGCCGCGCTGTCCGCATCCGCTGGAAGAAGAACATAGTTTGATATCTGCTTTGGTGAAGATGATGAGGATGAGGTGATCGTAAATAGAGGATATGCTTCAAGGGTGGTTTGGGCATTTATATTTCAGTATATCCAGTGGGAGATTGATTAGAGGGATTTGAAGTGCTATAGAACATGAAATTCTGAGGTCTTCTGATGAAATCGTTTTGAATAGTACTCCTCCTCATTTTAGCAACAGTCATTGTTTAATAGTTACGGATTCTTAGATACTTTAATAGTTTCTACCAGTCGGACTGGCAAAGCTTCATTGTTTCGACTCTAGTCAGTATTATTCAGATATAAGTTCTCCTTTTCTAACAATTGCATTTATATTTGTAAATACCGAATAAATTTTTAAAACCGCAAAACATTAACCATGAAAGCGACTGGTGTTAAACGTGACACAGTTTTCAAAAGACAGGACTTTGGTAATTATTTATACAAAAAAAATACTTCACAACATTCGTCCACAGCATATGGGCAATGACACTTTCTTTCAATCTTTTAAGTGTTAAATAACACTTAATTACATGTTGTACCAGTCACGGTATGTGAGGTGTCAGTTGTAGGGTTGACCGCTTATCTGGGTACAAAAGACCTATAATAACCGTCTTGTTCTGTGGTCCGTTTTTAAAGGGTTTATTTCTTTGTTGGGACAAGAAAGTTAATCGATTTTTTTTTTGTAACAGATGTTGAGATGTAAGATAGCAATTATGTTTTTGATTCGAATTATTTGTGAATGGAATAGATACTGTAATTTAGGACCGGGTTTAAGTTTTGTTTAGGATAGCTAGAGGGTTTAATTAAACCCTACAGGGCTTGTCATCATGAAAGTATCTTTCCTTCATTAGTGACTAATGTGTCTTAATTCTTATTGCGTTTTATAGTATTATTGCGAAATAATTAGCGACCAATAGTTGACGGTATGTAGTCTTATGGAAAATATAAACTAATACACGCTACTAGAGATGAACGAAGTATGTGAGTAAAGCCGAAGAAATGACGTCACAAGATCAGAAAAAGGTTCAGAAAATTTCACCTTTCAAAGACTTCAACTAACAACTAAGATTCTCAAACGAATAAAGCAATAATTTCTACGAATTCAGCTTACTAAAAAACCAAACAACTTGAAACTACTTAGCTTACTTGCTATCTAAAGAGCTTTGTATAATAAAACATGGACAAATACTTAACAATTGATCATTTACAAGATCAACTGCCTAATCAGATTCATTGTTATAAAAAAATATTCTATTTATAACAATGAATATTCAAATATTTTTCTGAGAATTTTTCAAAGCTTTTTGCTTGAAAGTGGTTCTTGTTAATTAGCCAATCCTTGGATAAGTTTAAACTGTAAGTATTACATCACGAGAACGACTGTTTTACCCCTCACATATATAATTAACTTCTTACATATTAATTGACATCGTCGCAATATAAATAGCAGCCCAACTTAAGACACTCGCGCCAGATTATAAAGGCGTTTTCGCACGAACAATTGGTCGGCACATCAAAGCGCGTTCGCGAGCTAATTTCACATAAGTACTGTGTAGACGCCCTTACATTCTCCGTTCAAACTCTCTTGTTATTATTATTTTTTCCTTCCATTTCTTTGTGAGGAAGGCAGCGCTGTAATGTCTATGGGGGTTGTATTGCATTGTAACCCGAGTTCTAAATTAATATGGTGAAAAAAACTACGTGATTCGACGACCATTGTTTGTACTGGCGTACCTAGTTTGTTTAGAGGGTATATTATGTAAATGCACGCGTTATTGATGTTAATTTTTTACAGATTTGTAAAGGTGATGGCTCGTGGCAAATGGGAACACTTCCTGGGGAAGTAGATGTGGTTGTATCCTGTGCCTGTTCAAACAACGTTTAGTCATACCGTCGTGGGTAGATTATGTTATGGAAAATGTTAAAGTTTGTCGAGAAAATATTTCGTGCAATATAAGTAACGTATATTAGCCTCATTCTAGCCTCCTAGATATGGATACTAATGCAGCGATGTTCGATTCCACTACACTTATGCAACGAACAATCTTCGAACATAATAGGTACATTATTGCTTCACGACTTGAGTTCTAACGCACATCACACCGCTAAACCCTTTCTAAATCCACCGCATAAAAGCCTTATAAATACATAATATACATAAACGTTTACACAATCGAACCCTATCAATTTACGTGGAAAGTTATCTGGACTGTGGGTCAACTCGGGTAGACGTCAAGCCCCACCCACTGCCCCGCTACTGGACAGTGGTCACCACACATGCGCCGTGTGGACAAAAACTTTACACCCACATAAATATTTGATTTTCACGTTACAAGTGATTTATGGTTATCTATATCGAGGGTGGATTGCTCCGGTTTCGAGTGGTTTAAACTGATCAATTTTGTAGCTTTCTGGGGTTTACGTATATGTCGTGTATTTGCGTGATTGATATGATTTTCATAATGTAACTTCATTGAATGTGATTAACTTATTTAAACTATGTTTATCGATTTGATTCTAATATTGTGTCAATAAAATTTTCTTCTTAAATAAGGTAAAATATTTGTCTAAGTTAAAATATTCCTTTAAGCTTCGTAAGACAATTAAATAAAAATATAACTTTCCAATTCAATTTAAAATTTGACAAAAAGACGTACCCAAATCGAAATCAATTATTACTCTCAACCAAAAACCAATATGAGAGGTGCGTGCATTTTATTTCTGTTTTATTGAAAAGTGCCGTCTAACCAAGGACAGTCGCCTCAGGTGACGAGAAGGGAGACACCCTCCAAAAGGACTGAGAGACCGAAAAGTTTAAATTAGCTCGTTACTACACACGCCGTAACATGCCAGTTATATCTCAGCATTTGTTTTTTCACAGAAAAGGTCACGCCGCGCGACAGAAGTAACTTCTGTGTTAGCGAAGTTTCTACTTGGCCGTTCGTTGCATTAATTATTAATTACATTTTGTCCCCGCCGCCCGCGAATTGTATCACTGTGTTAATTTGCGAAACGCTTCTAACGGTTTTGGTGGAACGCTGAAACTTTGTGTTTACTTTTAGAATATTTAAGATTGATGTGTATTGATTGCCGTATGTCGTTCGAAGCAAAAAATGTGTCTAACTTTGACACAGCCCTGACCACCGTGTCCAATGTTAATTGGCAGGGGATCGCGAACCCTAACGATTGTGTATAGAAATTGTACCGTTTTTCACGACAATAAATCGAAAATAAAAATAATAAGAATGGATATCAAATGTTGCGGGGGTGTTTATTGTGTAGTGCTATTATGATTTTGGGTTCTGCTTCCCACTTGGGTGTGGCCGGTGGTGAAAATTGAATATTATTTAGGAGAGGAATATAAAGAATTGTGTTGATTAGGCAGTTGGTGATTGCACGTTAATGTACTTCTTGAATACAAAAAACATCAAAGATATATAATATAAAAAATAAATAGTACTAGAGACTTCTGAAGAAATATTTACGTTATTGAAGTAATAAATAAAATTTTAAATCAAATTACAATTACATCTAGGACATCTGCTCGCCCAGTTACAGGCGAGCGCGACTAAGCAAAAACTTTTCATTTTCTTTTTTTACCATTTCTGTTTTCTTTACCAATTTATGAATGCCAAAGAATTTTGACATCGGCTTCTTTGACAGCTACTTTATTCAAAGGCTCGAGTTGTCGGAAATGGACATACGCCACAAAAGCCTATAGAAACCGCCCTGTGTCGGCAAATTGAGATTTAAAGCTTGTTTTAATTTATCAGAAGCTTTTTGTGTTGGTAGAACTGGCTGGACACTTGTGTGATTTGAAATTATTTTTATTTCTCCTTTTTTAGAACGCGTTCGTTTTTTGAGGGTTGGTAATTTTAAACCGTCGGTCGTTTGTCTTATATAGAAGGATGTATGAGAAAAAATTCGCGATTGGTCAAAATACTGTTTTCATTCTCTTGGTATGACTGTAATATAATTGTAAGCCATCAATTTTATTATGAAAAAGTACGTTTATTTTTAAAAACTAGCAAAAGTACCTGGTTCCATATTGGAAACACGCCCATATAGCCAGTTTAGCCTCGCCATTCACGTCAGAAGGCGGGTTGTGTCAACAGCGTACTAATGACGTCACTTTTCTCAACATGGCCACTCCGCAACCCTTGCTTTTTTACCTATAATTACACTTAGCTGATGGAGGGGAGAATTTCGCGCTATATACTTTAAATTGGTATATAAATTATGTTAAGTACACACAACAACCGTCGAATTATCGTTGAAATAAATTGACAAAAGAAACGTCAAATTGAAGTATTCACAAGTGCATGTCTCAAAGATAACGAAAAATACAGCAACACAATAGATAAAGTGATTTTAAAATTGATAGGTTTCATTAGATAAACGTTTTAATAATTGATTAATGTACACTCATTGTAACAACCAATAAACATAAAACACAATCAGAAGCGTCCAATATAAAACACCTAGCATCTATCAGATTAAAGAGCCTACCTATAAAATAGGATTACCTCTTAAGGGGACGGTTCTCGCCCACCGATAGCTAATCAAATTATCCGACGTAATTCGGAGCGACAAAAACGGCTGATTATCTTTATCTTGTTGTTTTTTTTCCTCTCGACCCAAGGGAGCTAAAGGGATCACTGTCCAATGCTGAATTTGTTATTTTTTTGCTAAAGAGTACCGTTTCATTTGATTTTCATTTTTATAGTTGGATCGAAATTAATTGAGTTTTTTTTCTACATTTTCTATGTTTCGGAACAATGTGCATTTGAAATGTAAAACCTTATACCCTTTATAATATTGATGATAAAAAACGGAAGAACAATATTTTTTTCTAACATCCTATATCAAATATTCAACGTTGATTTGAAAACTTTTAACAGGGTCATCAATAAGGAGATTGTTTATCAATATTGCCTCTTTACATAGCTCAGGTAAATAAGGTGTCCCTGGGGGGTGACAA